CCCAACATCTTCTGGACCACAGTCGCACTCTACGTGCTCATCGTATTCTTGATTATCGCAATCCAAGTGATCAACTGTTGCTGCTGCTGCGGTGGTGGTGGTGGCGGCGAAAGTGGGGTACGTTAGCATTATTCACACGTTTCATTTAAAATCACATCGGCTTATATTTTTTCAAGTCAAATTTTTGATGGCACTCGTAGAACTCCCTTGAGTGAGGTGCTTAGTGATAAGACGACACCTGATCGAAAGCATTCTAATCAAACTTCCACATGCGTCCTCATTCCATCCTGTCAAACTAGACTTAGTCATGGAAGCCGAAAACAAGATCTACTAGTTCTAGTGTCACCAGGTTGTAAGTAACTGTTCGCAAGTAATACGCTGTGGCTCCATTTCAGGTGTATGGAAAGATGAATCCCTTGCAAATGACTGCGTTGCGTAGCGAATTTGGACACAAGCAACTGGTGTGTCGCATCGCGTACATCGCAGTTCTGGTTCTCGCGATGGCCTTCCTGGCAGCCTGCATCATCCTCATATTCGTCTATTTCAGCAGCATCGGTGTGCTCATGAGCTACCTGGAAGCCCACAACGGGAGCGCAGAGGAGACGAGTTCCATCCAAAATGGTCTGTAAGCACTCACAACACACGTGACACAGTTCTTGAACACAGGCATTGAGTCTGGACGCACGCTGACTAATGCTTCTCTTAGCGACTTCATGAATAAAACGAACGTAAGGCAATCTCAAACCTAGACGCTCGAGAATATGTTATTTAGGTCCCCTAGTGTCGATTGTGTGACATATCAAGCTTGATTTTATAAAGAATCTTGATGTCTTTAGCTAGTGTTGGTTGGCACGAATCTTGTGAGTAGGTTGAGTCAATGAAATTGACTTGCTGTGACGCAAGCTGATTGCGTTACCAATTCTAAACGTTCCTTCGCGAATCAGTTTTATGATGCGTTTTGGCTAACTGTTTGTGATTGTTGCATGTGTTTTAGGCACAAATTTCATCCGGACTCTCTGGAACGATTGATGATTTGCTGGTTTATTTGAATGTGTCGAATGTTTTGACAAAAGGAAACGACACTGTTGAGGCGGTAAAAAATTTCTCCGTATACGTGACCGATGCAAGTACTTCGGTTGAAGCCTTAGTGAACGGCATGACCGATCTTTGCAGTAAAATGGATAACGCGAGTGAGGAATTTAAGACTGCATTTACAAACGTTCCAAATTGCAGCAACGGGACGGAATGCTATAAGTTAAAAGTGAGTCACCATCTTCATTATTTAACGACTAAAAGGACCACAGACATTGGAGGCTCAACCGCTTTCTGAACTTCAAGGCATTTCTTTCGATGCTTTTTGCTAAAAGGCATTGTGGCTGAGATATTTCAGCAAATAAACGCCTGAAGTACAGGCGGTTGATAAAAACATGTTAAATTGTGTGGCCATGACTATAAAAAGGGTTGATTCAATTACTTTGATGTCGCAAATAAAGAACTCAAGAAGACGCTTATTGTTTACTTATTCTTCGCAGGTAGCAACAGAAAATCTACACTGTCCAATGAATCTCAGTGCAATCAACACAACAGTAATAAATAACTTTACCAAAGAACTTGAAAACATGGTGACAGATTTAGAAAAGAAATTGGCAAATGTCTCTAATGCAATCAACGATATTAAATCGTCTGCAGCAGATATGGTTGGCTCGGTTGAGGAAAAACTTGACCTCAAAACGGTGCTCGATTCGATCAACAAGTTTTGGAATGACACCAGTGCACAGGTTAGTGGTGTGACCAAGAATCTGGAAGACCTCTCCACCTCTGTGGACAATGGACTTGCACAGTACTCGGGATACATTCGCATCGCGTTCAGCGTAATCGGAGGTTTCTTCATATTGGTGTTGGTCATCGCAGCCCTCATTGCTGCGCGTCTTCTTTACCGAGCTTTTCGAGATCGACTCTACGCTGGCGCTGACACCGTGCTCACATGTGAGTCATTTGGTGTTCACTCATCTTGACAGCATCTACATTTGAGTAAAAATTGCTGCAATGTGGCACTTTGGTTTAAAGCCAAAGAGGATTCCTTAAAATGACCAAATTTAATTAGAAAACCTCACAACATTTCACTGTGGTTGGTAGAAGTTGCCAACTGCTATTTATATTTCATCGACTATTTAAGCACTCTCTCAATAAATGACAATTTGTTCTAGAGAATGAACACGCAGAAGAATACTAGCATGAAAATTTCCCACGACACATATGTATGGACCATAAGAGTAATCGTTCAATAGCAAATTGACCACGACAACTGCCTACAGACTCATCATGATAGTTTTTTAAGTATCGCCTTTATTGGTTACAGATTCACCCGGTAATAAGTGGGACAAGATTGTCTGTGGAAAGGGGTCGGTCTGCTGCTGTTCTGCGATTTTCATCCCAATCCTGCTCATTTTCGCCGCCATTATTACAGTGCTGCTATTCGCGTTGACGTCGGTATCAGGTTTGTTTACGACTCTTTAAACAGATAAAATTTCCCTGAAAATCGCTCTTGATTGTGGTTTGAATGAGAGGTCATTGTCAAAATGGCAAGATGAGTAAAATGTATTGCGCTTTAAGGATTCAGTAAGCGGAAAAATCTTCAGGACTTGAACTGGCAGCCTTTCGGTCAGAGCAACTGATTCTGCAATTGAGTTCTCCAATTGTGAGTCTCTCAGTCCTCACCCAGTAACTCCTTCACAGCAGACAT